AATTAAGTTAGCTTCTTTAGCTGCTGCATAGTACCACTGACTCTTATTGACCTTACAAACCCCAACGTACTTTTCAAAAGAATTCCTGTCTATTTGTGATTTCTTCATCTTATACTTGTGAAGATGATTTTTTGTACCTAAATGCAAAAGTTTACATTTACCCTTATCAATTTTCACTTATTGAATGCAGCCCAAGTGTTTTAGCTTGTGAATTTCCTTTTGGATCTTGATTCTGTCATGGTCTCCAAGGCTGGCTGTTACTTCTCTCACAGTCCCCAACTCAGCAGACCAGCTTAGTACATTGCTTGCTCTCCATTGCCACTTTCACACCCTTCCTCTGGCACCATCACCCAACAATCATCTTTAAAGCTCTCTCTGCCCAGTCCAGAGACTCAATGCTATCATCTGTGGACCTCTGGGTTATGGCTCTGATTGCTGGGTTTGTTATACTTTTAGACGATAACGTTCCTGGGATAAGGGCAGCTAGATGGCTTGGTGGATAGAGCACTGGGTCTAGAGTCAAGAAGACCTGAGTTTAAATCTGGCCTTAGACACTTATTAGCTGTGTGAGCCTGGGCAAGTCACTCAACCTTTATTTGTCTTAATCTACTGGAGAAAGAAATACCCAACCACTCCAGCATCTTTGCCAAGAAAATCTCATGAATAGTATGTTCCACGTGGTCATGAAGAATCGGATATGATTGAACAACAATGACCTCAGATACATACATCCTGCTGCAATACAATGAGTTCATAGCATAGTCATTCAACATATTAAACACTTATTATACACCCAGGCAGAGAGGCAGCATTGGCATTATGCCTGGAGACCCAGCTTTAGGGCCAGGAAGATCTGGATTCAAGTCTCTCCTCGGACACATACCAGCTGTCCAATTCCAGGCAAGCCACTTCTCAGTGACCTAGTAACTCCCTAATGCTTTACACTGCAAGGAGGGTGCTGACTTGCATTGGTAGAGGAGGCTTCCTCATCTGGGAGTTCCCCATGCTAATGATATCATAGGTCCAGTCCCTATCTCGATCCCCCTCCCTATCCCTATGTTCAAGGCATGGAGAAAGTACTAGGAATAGAAGGACAACAATGGAAGAGACCCTCAAAGAGCTTAAATCAGATCCAGAGAGAGCACAATGATATATGCATGTGTAAATATAATATACATACATCCACAAAAATGCATAAATACAAAGGAGCAATCTGAAACTACTGGATGAGAACAATTAAGATGTCCTAGAAATGATAGTTTGCCATCATAGCTCATTGATTCATTTATTCATTCATTCATTCTTTTAACAACATTTAGATGCCTGCTCTAGGCAAATTCACTGCACTAATCATCAGGGGAAAATATTCCAGAAATACTCTTTCTTTTTTTTCTTTTCTTTTCTTTCCTTTTTTAAAAATAAAAAATGGTATCTTTTCTCTTGGTTTTCTGCTATTTATATTTGGGTTTCTTGTTGATTTTACTGGCATCTGAATTTCTGAGAAGGGTAGGTTTTATGACCACAATTTGCATTCGACCTCCAATACTCCTGAGCTGGGTTTCTAGTGCAAAGTAATATAATCATGAGGAGAATCCCTCTAAATTATACAGTAGACCCACATTCTATCACCAAGCAGAGATTCCACTCAAAAGACTTGAAGTGTTATGACCAATTAGACATTTTTCAGGGAGAAAGATATGAGCTTTATTTGCTTTTCTTTCTTTCTTTTAAAAAGGTAATTCATCCCCAGTCTGTAATCTCCTGGTCTGCTGAGCTCCTGCTATGCTCCATTGTTCGCTTCCCCAGCCCTCTGTCTGGGGTGTCAGGAGAGTGAGCACTGCCGTGGCTGGAGGGAAAGAAGAGTCCATCGGATTACAGATCAGACATGAACATTCCCCCAGCCCCTCCTCTTCTTCACCCTGAGACACACAAAAAGCTCTTATTTATTTTATACTTAGAATGTCAAAGGAGCCTGGGGGTGGGCCTCCCGAGCTGCGGATTGGCAGATCGCGCTCCATCTCTGAAATAATAAAGATTCACCATGTGGCTGTGTGATCTACACAGAATGGGCATGTCACCCACAATCGATGGGTCTTGGCAGGCAGCCTCCTGCTGGCCTAAGGACGGATAGAGGGGGCTACATTTCCTGGAGCTGCCAGAACCACTGGGCTGCAGAAATCCAGAGAGCCACACAGAGGGGCGGCTGGGGGCTGCTTGAAAGTTATATGGAAATTTGTGGTTCAACAGGACAGGCATCAAAATACTGACTGTCATTTTGAAATGGAAGCATGACCAAGCATAGCAGGACAGCAGTGGTTCTGAGAAAGTTTATAGCAGGATTTTACTACAAATGTGTTGTGTCGCCCCACGGTACAAAGCCCCCCCCCATCCATGCTTCAATGAAGAAGGGAGATCATGTTTATTCCCCTTGTTTAGCCTAACATACTGTTCTCTCTCCCTCCCTCCCTCTCTCTCTCTCTCTCTCTCTCTCTCTCTCTCTCTCTCTCTCTCTCTCTCTCTCTCTCTTTCCTCCTCTCTGTGTCTCTGTGTGGGTCTGTGTCTGCCTTTCTCTCTCCCTCTGACTCACTGTGTCTCTCTTCTCTCTGTGTTTCATGTCTCTCCCCTCTTTGTGTCTTACTATATCTCTCTTTCTCACTGTCACTCTTCTTCTCTGTGTCTCTCCTGTCCTCTCTTTCTGCTCTGTCGTCTTTGTTTATGCCTATCTGTCTCTTTCATAGTTATCCAGAATAACCTTGCCTGGTAAATGCATACTACTTCTACTTTCTGGATGTCTTTGAGAACTCCTCATGTGACCAGGTAGTCCTGGAAAACGAGCACTCTTGGTGCAAATGAAAAAGCTAGGCCCCTTTCTCTGCTTCTCAGTAAATGGTGCTCAGAAGTCAATTTGGAGCAGTATCTATTGTTTTGTGTATATATTTTCACTCTTCACTGTCTCTCCTAGTTCAAAGGCCAGAAAGCCTCATTTCTTCATTAAAAATAAGTACCTCAGAGGTCTCATTTCCTTATTAAAAATGTGGGACAAGACCCTTCTCAGCAATACAAGGATCTAAGACATCTCCAGAGGCCTCATGATGGAAAATGCTATCCACATCCAAAGAAATAACTATAGAAGTTGAATCGGAACCTTTTTTTTTCTTTTCTGTTGAGTTTTGTTTCCTCTTTCTGATGGTTCCTCCTATTGGTTTTAATTTTTACTTACAACTTCACTAATGTGAAAATATGTTTAATAGGAATGTAAATGTATAGTCTGTATCAGATTATGTGCCGTCTTGGGGAGGGTGGTGGGGAGGAAGGGGGAGAAAAATTTTAAACTCAAAAGAATATGGAAGTGATTGTTGATAAATCAAAATGAATTAATAAAATTTTTTAAAAATGTGGGACAAGAACAGAGAGAGAGACAGAAGATAGAAAGGAAGAGAGAGGGAGAGAGAAAGAGGAGGGGGAGAGAGAGAGAAGAGGAGAGCAAGGAGGAAGAGAGAAAGAGAGAAGAGAAGTGATGGGAGAGAGAGGGAGAAGAAGAGAGAGAGAGAGAAAGAACTTGACATCAATTCTAGATATCTCTTTGAGATGATATTTGTAAAGAGCACAGGATGGTGGTATCAGATGACTTCAGGTTCAAATCTCAGTTCTGCAATTTACTATCAATGTGACTTTAGACAAATCACTTTGCCTCCCTAGGCCTCCATTTTCTCATCTGTAAAATTAGGGGAGGAAACAGGTTAGATAATCTCTCTCTCTCTCTCTCTCTCTCTCTCTCTCTCTCTCTCTCTCTCTCTATATATATATATATATATATATATATATATATATATATATATACACACACATATATATACACATATATATGTAGATAGATGATAGATCTATATACAGATAGATAATATACATAATTTCTATATAATCTCAAATATAGATATCATTCAGCTCTAAATCTATGATTCTATGGTTTTAAGGACAGTACTCACAAAGAAACAGAAATAAAATTTAAAATTTAAAAGGAAGTTGGCAAAGAGTAGAATCAATCAAAAAGAATTTAATAAGTACCTGCTAGGCATCAGTCACTGTGCTTATTGGCACTGGGGATCCAAATACAGAAAAAAAGCATCCCTGCTCTCCTTCTATTAAGCACAGCACACATCAACAACCCTAATATAATATAGGATCAGAGGAAATCATAAAGATTTCTAAATTATTACTTTGATGACTAAGGATATTCTGTACATAACTTGGAAATGTAAAAAAGAAAAGAAATATTATATATAGTATTTGCATTGTGATTTTCTTCCAGGGACCTAAAATTCGGTCTATAAACATTTTTGAACACTGGAAAGATACATAACAAAATACTTGGCATTATTGGTGGCTATGAAAGAAATAAGAAAAAGTAGTTCCTGCTTTCATGGAACTTAGGGTCTAGGCGGGGAGCAAACCATGAAGCAGACCAAAAGCAGTTACAGCCCATTGATTAAGGAATGGCTAATCCAAACTCTCTACAAGATGTAATGGAATGTTACTGTTCTATAAGAAATGTGACTACCAGGAACATGGGAAGCATTATGTGAACTGCTGCAAAGTAGAGTAAGAAGAACCAGGAAAACAGTACATAAATTAACTACAGCAATAACAATGACAAAAATGAATGCAGTACAATTAAAGTGAGCAAGTTTGATCTGAAAATGAGAGGAGAAAATGCATCTCCCTGCTTTATGCAAGTGGGGGACTATGGATGGGTACTATCACACATGCTGTCAGACTTGACAGAACATGAGTTGCTAGGTTGGTTAGTTTTACTGAACTGCTATTTTTCTCTACCTTTTTTCTTTTTCCCTGCTTATTACAAGGGATCATTCTCCGGGGATCAGAAGAGAAGAAATACATTAGGAAATCGAGGTGATAACAAAAAAAGATAAATTATTTTTCAAATGTAGAAAGCAATTGCAAAGTGACATGAAATGGGCTTTATTACTATTCTGACTCACAAATTGCTGTCTTGAATCTGTGGAGGATTTTCCCGGGTTGTGGAAAATTCACTTTTCCCTTTCTGCCATCTTAATGCTTAGCACTTCTTCGGAGGAGAGGGAGACATTGTTACTCCTTGAAAAGGAAAGACATGAAGTGACTGCCCTACTAACTCCCACAAGATCATTAGAGGAAGGCAGTAAAGGGGAAATGCCCCATTTTTACAGAAGAAAGCCTGTTAAGTAATTTGATATAAATCCCGTAACAATCCAGAAACGGTTATTAAACACCTGTAATACACAATTCTTACCCTCAAGAAAAATCTTACCATGAGTTGGAGCCAGACCTTTGTTTTACATTCAAATGCTCTCATGGTCTGTCTCTCTCTTTCTCCCTCTCCCCCCCTCTCATGCTCTCTCTCCCTCCCTCAGATATTTATGGTACTTTGCATGTTCAAGAGTTTAACAAACCCCAAAGACCACTGGGGTAGTTGTCTTGAACAAGAAAGTCTCCTTCCAGTTCTGGTTGTAGAAGCTCTGATTTTTAAAGCAACAACTCCTATGTCCTGGAATAAAAAACCAAATCTTCATTTTGATCTTATTCAAGCAGCAAGACAATTCCAGAGGGACCAATGAAGGGGAAGAAAAGAACTGATGAGTTCCATGTGGGGGACTGCATTTATGTATTAATCCTGACAGGGAGCAAATAAGCTTCTTCCCAGGGGCATTCCATAGAGGCCCAATGCAGCCAAGTGAGAAATGGGGTTGTTATTTATGGCCACACTGGTTTTTCTTATTAAATAAACATTTTTAATTATTGTAAGTGCAGAGTTCTTTGTTGGGGAAGGAAGCTTAAAAAAGTACTATATTATGCTAATTTGCATATCTGTTGGGATCTTGGTTCCCTCCTTTTCCTTACACTATGCTAAAGATAGCAGTTGGCACCAGAGAGTAAGGTGACATTGATGTCAATCCTTCATGTAAGTCATATTGGCTGAAATTCCAAGGATCTAACTACAGGCAAAAGCATAAGGTGAGAGTAAAATGTCCCCCCCCCCAATGAATTATAAAGCATTTATTAAGTACTTGCTGCATTCCATTCACTTACGAACTACCTCTATGGTGGGCACTAGACAACTTAATACTTTAATAAGCAAAGGTTCTTCATATTTACACATGGATTCAAACACCCACTAAGACACACAAATCACAGCCCTCCAGTCTGTAATACATTACCAAAGATTCTTGAAGCTTGAAACCTACATTGTAATACTAGAATAATAAAAATTGCTGGCATTTATATAACATTCTAAGGTTTGCAAAGTGCTTTACAACCATTATCTCATTTCAGTTTCATAACAATCCTGGGAGGTAGGTGCTAATATTATCCCCATTTTGCAAAGGAGAAAACTGAGGCATGGGAAAGTTAAGTGACTTGTCCGTGGTTGCACATCTAGTAAGCATCTGAGATCACATTTGAACTCAGATCTCCCTGACTCCACTGTACCCTAGTTGCTAATTATCAGAACAACTCATTTGAACAATCAGGACTGAATCATGAAATTTTGGCACAAGACAGTGAGCTTTGATGACTGTTAACAAGAGACAGTCTCGATCATCTCTAAGGAATACCAGTGTTGCTTCTCTGCCACCATCCCAAAGCTTCTCTAGTTAGACAGCCCCAAGTTCTAGATACAGGTAGGTCCCAAACAGTGTAGATGCATCCCATGAAGTGATCCCATATATTCAGATTTGAACTATTTGACGTTAGAATTATGTACATTATGATCATTGGTTCCCGTTCAATGTAGGAAGTATGCCGTGTGAATTCAAATAATGTGATCTCTTCAAGGGATTTATTATTTGGGCTAATTAGGACCTAGTTGTTCTAATTGACTGGATTTTAGTCTCTTTGACACTTTTATTATTCTATAGGATGGAATAATTGATTCCTTTTAGAACAGTAGTTAACTTTTGACTACTCAGATTTGGATGGCCTTTGTATATTACACAAAATAGAGGACCATAGAATCATAGGATCATAGATTTTGAACTGGAAGGGACCTTAAAAGAGGCCATCAAATCCAGCCCCCCTCATTTTTCAGATAAGGAAACTGAAGATCAGAAATTTAGCGACCTGCTCAGGCTCACATAGTTATTAAATGTCTGAGGCAGGATTCAAACTCAGGTCTTTCTGATTCCAAGTCCAGCATTCTATCCACTGTGGCTATACCTGCTATACTATATTCCCTCTATTCTCTCAAAATAATACTACTAATAATAATTTATACTTATAGAGTGGGCAGCTAGGTGGCTCAGTGGATAGAGTGCCCTGACTGGAGTCAAGAAGACTCATCTTTCTGAGTTCAAATCTGGCCTCAGACACTTACTAGCTGTGTGACCCTGGGCAAGTCATTTAACCCTGTTTGCCTCAGTTTTCTCATCTGTAAAATGAGCTGAAGAAATAAATGGCAAACCACTGCAGCATTTTTGGCAAGAAAACTCCTAAAGGGGTCCTGAAGAGTCAGACGTGACTGAAATGACTAAACAACAATACTCACGGAGTGCTTTATGCTTTTCAAAGTACTGTTTTGTTTTGGTTTGGTTTTAAGGTTGGGTCTCCACATCTCATTCAGGCTGGAAATGCAATGGGCGTATGTGGGGTGACCCTACAGCTGATCAGCATGGAAATTTTGACCTGCTCAATTTGTGACCTGGGCTGGTTCACCCCTCCTGAGGCAGCTTGGTGGGTCCCCAGTCCCCACTGACTCATCATATTGGTGTAAGGCTTGGGCATGGATACCAAATCGGCTTTAACCTTACTACAGCTCAGAACTACCAAACTCAAGCCATCCACCAGTCTCAGCTTCCATTGCTCATCACCGTGCCCAGCTCAGTGTACTTGCTGACAAACAACAACGCAAGTTAGATATTACAGTATTGCCACCTCCATTTTACAAAGAATAACACTAAAACTTAGAGAGGCCATATTGGATTTGCTCATGATCCCTTAGGTCACCCAGATGCAAGAACTGGAATTAGTATTCAAACCCACATCTTCTGACTCCAATCCTGGGACTCCCTTCACTATACCATACTGCCCATCTCACGCTCCAGATTGTCTCACCCACTTTGTCCATTTAGTGTGTGCCTGAGGAGCAGAAAAATCTTGGATTAGCCCTTCTTTGGGCTTTACTTTTTTTCCTAAGTGGGGGTTGGGCTATATAATTTCTAAGTCCCTTCTAGTGCTGACACGGTGTAAAAATACCATTATTAAGATGAGAGAATCCCAGGATATAGAGCTGGGAACATTACAAAGGAGATAAATCTGTCGCAAAATTAAGCATATCACAAAATTCAAAGCCAAGGGTAAGTCATTCTTGCAAGATCAAATTGCTTCTCTCATTTAACGCAGATAGTCAAGATTTGAGTATGAAATGGACTCCTCATTTTTCAGGATCCTTTTCAGGTCATTAGCATTAGGCTAGACCTTATACTTATACTCATGTATAAGAGATTCACTTAGGAGAATAGTTTTCCTTGTTTTCTAAATCACTTTGAGGTGGGTAGCACGTTTATTTCTTTTCCTCCACTACATAGAGTAAACACAAATATTTATAATTTGCAACCATCAGAGGAGAGCCCACCAATCCATCTCTTTCTGTTTCATCTTTAAAATCCTAACAAAATCCCACTGGCTCCAATACCTAATGTTTTCTTACTATGTAACTATCAGATTTGACCAACTGTTTACCATATAATAGCTCACTAACTTGTGGACGTATGACAAAAGGCCTCAATCAAGATGGCATTTGCTTTTTAAGAAAATGTGAGCAAACCACAATCAGAAGATTGTATAGAGTGAGATTTCTGGACCTTCTTCTGTGTCACGGGTCCCTCTGAGAATATGGTGAAACCTGTGGACCCCTTCTCGGAAGAATGTTTTTAAATGCATAAAACAAAATGTGTAATATTACAGAGGAAACTTGCTACATAGTTATCAATAAAATATATATTTTTCACAACTATATTCTAACTGTATTTTGATAACTATAAATAAGCACATATATAAAACATATTGGTGTGTATTACAGACATTATACATATACACACATATGTATATATATATATATATATATATATATTTTAAACAAGTTCACAGGGGTTTTAACACATCTCCCTTTAAAAGATAATTTCGTAAATGTCACAGTATATATATATTAATTACCCAGAAAGATCATGATCCATTTCACTAACAAATCAATCCTTGTGTGGTCCTCCTCAAGGGGGAAAAACATTTATTAAGTGCCTGCTATGTGCCAGGCACCATACTTTCCAAATATTATCTTATTTGAAACAAGAAAATACAGAGTTCTAGAAATTCCTAATATGGGAGAACAAATTCAGGGAGGAATGTTGGGCAATATTTCAACCTCTCACTCTTACAATTATCTACTAGGAAGGACAAGGGCCCTTGATGAAGCCTTCTTAAAGGTTTGCCTAAATTTTAGACATTGGCTCTTTCCTACTCCTTCACAGAATGCTTGTCTAATAACTGATAATAAAAGATGCAGCTGGACTTATTTGCTAGGTTTAGTTTTATTGTTTTCTATCTGTTTCTCTTTATCTCTTTTTTCTATCTCTTTTTCTTCATATTTCTCTTTTTCTTTCTCTCTCTGCTTCTTCCTCTATCTCTGTTTCTTTCTCTCTTTTTTCTTTCTCTTTTTAACTTCTCCAGTTTAAAGATTAGATATTTCTCTTTTTGTGGAACTGAGTATACCAACTGGCATGGGCTGTATTAAAACCAGGAGAAACCCCACTCCCAAGGCCTCTCCAAAGGCAGGCTTTCTTGTTAATATGCACTAACATGAAAAGCTCTCTTTTCATCCTATACAACTACAGTGTGTGTAAATTGCAGGGGGCTCATTGGCATAAATCTCGGCTGCGACCTCTGAGGTAAACTGGATTTACATTACTTTCTGACAAGAATTAAATGAAGGCCTTGTGGATATATGAACAGCCTTCTAGACTGCAACAGATGGGCATGAATGTGCTCCTAGGCAAACTATTAGTGACATCTGTGTCCTTCGAATTCTGGTGGTCTCAGCCAATTAACAGGCAAAAAAAAAAAAAAGA